CCCAGATCAGAATTTGGCGATTGCTGGAGTGGGAAGGAAGCACATTCCTGCTTGCAAATATCTGTTGGACAAGAGCAGGCAAAGAATAAATAGTAATCGTTGGCGTGCCAAGTTAGAAACTGGTGCAGTGAGGCCCCCAACAGGCCCCTATAGACACGGATTCTCCCCATGGATATAGTGAGCTCTTGCAGTGATTCAGTCGCAAATAGTGTTAGCCGTGACGCGGAGATGAAGAACACGACCCCGAAAGCAGGACCCCCCCTAGCAACCCCAGCGAACCACGAGTTGCCAGTCGACAAGTCGAGGGCCGATGCGCTCGCTACGAACGTCGGCACACGATAGCGCGAACCTCAATGCACGCTGATACACGGTAGCCACATCGACGAGATCACACGCATGACGATGATGACACCCATTTGGGCTACCCCCTCAAACCACCCCTTAAACCCCTATAAGGCAATTCAACAAGCCAGCAATCGGTCCCACATGAATGCATCAGACAATCAGCACACGTGCGACAGCGCTGGCCGTTGGAAAGGGAGGTCAAATTCACGTTGAACTGCAAAGTCCGCCGAGATCCGAACTTGGCGATTGCTGGTGTGGGAACGAACCAGTTTCCTGCTTTCTTCAATGTCCGTTGGATAAGAGCACGCAAAGAATAAATAGTAATCGCAGGCGCGCCAAGTTAGAAACTGGTGCAGAGAGGCCCTCAATAGGCCCCTATAGACACCCACTCTCCCCATGGACATAGCGAGCTCTTGCGGTGATTCAGTCGCAAATGGTGTTAGCCGCGACGAGGAGATGAAGAACACGACCCCGGAAGCAGGACCCCCCCTAGCAACCCCATCGAACCACGAGTTGTCTGGTCGACAAGTCGAGGTCCGATGCGCTCGCTACGAACAGCGGCACACGACAGCGCGAACCGCAATGCACGCTGATACATGGCAGCCACACCGACAAGATCGCACGGACGACGATGACGACACCCCTTTCGGCAACCCCCCCAAACCCCTACAAAGCGATTTTCACTGCCAGCACTTTTGCGCACCCGAAGGTCTCTGGCGACCAAAGCGCATGCGAACCGTCCTACCTTCAAATAACGCTCGTGAAATAGTTCAGTCCGTTCGTCGACACTCCGGCGACCGCGAAGTTCGGATCTCGGCAGACTCCGGGTTTCCACGCAACTTCTGATCGCCGCGATTGGACATGTTATGATCGTCGGAGGCCATAGGCCGCGCTAAAATGCTCGCTTTGAGAAACGGCTCACGCGGGCAACTGCACCGCCTGCAACCCCCTTAAACCCATATAAGCCATTGCAACTGCAAGCGAGCATTCCGCTCACCTAATCATCCGTATGGCCTCCGACAATCAGAACACGTCCGATTGGGGCGGACAGATTAGCGTGGAAACCCAAATTTCGTCCGGATCCGAACTTGGCGATCGCTGGAGTGGCGCGGAACCGATCGTCAGAGGCCATAGGCCTCGCTAAAATGCTCGCTTTGAGAAATGGCTGATGCGGGCAACTGCACCGCTGCAACCCCCTTAAACCCATATAAGCCATTGCAACTGCAAGCGAGCATTCCGCTCACCTAATCATCTGTATGGCCTCCGACAATCAAAACAAGTCCGATCAGGGCGGACAGATTAGCGTGGAAACCCAAAGTCCGCCAGGATCCGAACTTGGCGATCGCTGGAGTGGCGCGGAACCGATCATCGAAGGCCATAGGCCGCGCTAAAATGCACGCTTTGAGAATGGCTCATGCGGGCAAGTGCACCGCCTGCAACCCCCTTAAACCCATATAAGCCATTGCAACTGCAAGCGAGCATTCCGCTCACCTAATCATCCGTATTGCCTCCGACAATCAGAACATGTCCGATTGGGGCGGACAGATTAGCGTGGAAACCAAAGTCTGTTGGGATCCGAAGTTGGCGATGGTTGGAGTGGCGCAGAACCGATCGTCGGAGGCCATAGGCCGCGCTAAAATGCTCGCTTTGAGAAATGGCTCATGCGGGCAACAGCACCGCCTGCAACCCCCTTACACCCATATAAGCCATTGCAACTGCAAGCGAGCATTTCGCTCACCTAATCATCCGTATGGCCTCCGACGATCAGAACACGTCCGATTGGGGTGGACAGATTAGCGTGGAAACCCAAAGTCCGCCGGGATCCGAACTTGGCGATCGCGGGAGCAGTGCGGAACCAACCGCACTGATTCATAAGCGTTTTCTGAAGCCAGGCATCGGCATCCGAGTGTCGATCAAAAGCAAGACTCCCGTCCCCCGTGCCAATCATGTGCTACGCTGTCTTGTTCGCGCCCTCTCCCCCGTGGCCATGCGAGGGCAACTCGTTGTTCCTTACTCAACGAGGCTATGGTCTCGTGTTGAGGTGTTCGTTACTCAACGAGTTCTCTGTCCTGGGGT